GTCTTAAAATTATGCATTTTAGTGGATTCAACAACATTGTTGGATAGTCCAATCAACTTCGTTTGTCTAATTTATTTATTTTTGAATATCTATTCGTTATGCATTTGAAGTGTTTGGTGAATGTTGCTTGAAACTCCAGTTATTCCACTAGAAGAACACGTTGCCTTCTCCAATACTCCATAAGATATTCGGTTCAGAAAGTTCTTTGATTTTTATTAGTCTTCTCCATGTATGGAATTGATTATTAGTTCCTTTTCTAGCCACATGATGTAATCTTTTGTAGTATTTGGCTTCGAGGAATTCTCTGAGAAGTAAGTTGTTAGTTCTAATGTTCCACCACTTCTTCACCGAAAATGAAACACAAAAACTTTGGATCTCCTCCCTCATTCAAATTTCCCCCTCTGAGTACGTAGGGGTAACATAGATCATCCCATGCTATCCAATGGCGTTTCTTCCTCCCATCAGCTTCACCCCAAAAAGAGATAGCCATGAGACTATCAATTTTTTTAAAGGTGCCTTCAGTAGGTTGTATCACCGAGAAAATATGAAGAGGGATAGAGGTCAGAACAGAATTGAGCATAACAGATTTACCACAAGCGGTAAGAGTTAGTGTTTTTTTGCCAAGAAGTAACTTTCTTAGCCACTTTATTAATCACTAGATCAGTAAAATGACATTTTTTTGTTTTTGACTTGAAAGATAGGACTTCCTATGTACTTCAGAAGGATCTGGTATGAGAGAAGCAAGTAATAGATTTAAAACATCTTTGAAGTGAATTGAGGCTTTAGGATAGACCGTGAAATCAAATTTATTCTTATTGATCAGTTGACCTGAAATCTTTTCATACATATTAAGTATATCAATCATCATTATTACAGAGAGAGGGTCACCTAAATAGGGGAAAATAGTGTCATGCTGAACACCAACTATTTAATTGAAGTATCAATTATTGCTCATGATTCTCCAAATCATCTGAATCCAAATATCATTAAACCCCATATGCCTTAAAAGAACACAGAAGTATTCCCACTAAAAATCTATCTTAAGCTTTGTTCGTGTTAAGTTTTAATATCTCATTGTTACTAGGATTTATACCTTTCATATTGTGGTTTCATATTTTGGACCATCTCTTGAATCAAAATAATATTATCAGCGATAGACCCTCCTTTAATAAATCATGAATGGTTACCATAGTCCTACTACGTGGTTGGTTAGCTTATTTCTAGAAGACCACTTTATATGAACTAATCAGTGATATAAAACTACAAATGATTATCAAATGATCAACTTGAGATAATTTTTCTACAATTTTGAGCAAATATATGAAAAGTAAATCTAAACAGAAGCATACACTTCATAAAAAATTCATGATCATTGCATTATGATTAGTGCTTATAATTAGGGTCGCTTTCGTTTATTTATTTTATTAATATTGTTAGTTGATTTTGAATGTCTATTTTTTTTGATTGATTTTTGTTTCCTGTATGTATAGGTTATACTCTTAATGGATAAGAGTTGGATAGATATAAAGAATAGGCTTGATCCTTTATATGAGAATGGAGCAAACAAATTTCTTCATTTTGCATCATTAGATAGGCCTAATGCCTCTGAAATTTTGTGTCCATGTTGAAAGTGTTGTAATATGAAATTTGTTCGAAAATATTTGATTGTTGAACATATTGTGGTTGATGGATTTCTAACTAGTTACACTAGTTGGATTTTTCATGGTGAGAAATCATCTTCACCAATATGTGTGGATCAGTTAGATAAAGGTTATGAAATGCAAGACATTTTACATGAAGCATTTGGAATTCCTCCTACATCTAGCTTTGTTAATATGGACACTAGTGGGACTGATGGATTGGGTAGTTCAAATCAACATAATAGGGGGGTTGATAAGAAGACTGGAGAATTTTTTAAACTATTGAAAGAAGTTGAACGTGAGTTATACCCAGGAAGCAAGTATTCTCTACTTTCATTTCTTGTTCGTCTTTTACATTTAAAGTGTCTCAATGGGTGGAGTAACAATTCATTTTCCATGTTGCTAGAGTTGTTAAAAGATGTGCTTCCTGAAGGTGAAACATTACCCAAGTCCTTTAATGATTCAAAAAAAATTATTAAAGATTTAGGGCTTGAGTACAAAAAAATGCATGCATGTTAAGATTTAGGGCTTGAGTACAAAAAAATACATGCATGTCCAAATGATTGTATGATTTATTGGAATGAGACAGAAGATCAAATAAATTGTAAGATCTGTAAAGCTCCAAGATACAAACAATTTAAAGGTGAATCAATCGACAATAGTTCAAAAAGTTCAAAAATTCCAGCAAAAGTGTTTAGATATTTTCCATTGATACCACGACTTCAAAGACTATTTATGTCGACTAAAACATCTACCGAAATGAGATGGCATGCAGAAGGTCGCACTAAAGATGGGGTAATGCGACATCCTGCTGACAGTATTGCTTGGAGGAATTTCGATGAAACACAGGTTGATTTCGCTCTAGATCCTCGAAATGTTAGACTTTGACTGGCTTCAGATGGCTTTAGTCCATTCAAGTCTATGTCTATCTCACATAGCACATGGCCGGTCATCTTGATTCCTTATAACTTGCCACCATGGTTGTGCATGAAACAACCATATATGATATTATCAATGATTATTGATGGCCCTCGTGCTCCAGGTAATGACATTGATGTCTATCTACGACTCTTAGTTGATGAGTTAAAAGAATTATGGATTGGTGTTTCCACTTTATGATGCATCAAATAATCACATGTTTCAAATGCGTGCATCATTACTTTGGACAATCAGTGATTTTCCTGCACTAGGTAACTTATCAGGATATGGCGTGAAAACAAGATATGCTTGTCCTTGTTGTCTTGCCAAGACTAAGTTTAGAAGATTGAAAAATGGACAGAAGTATTGTTTTATGTCTCATAGACGATGGCTACCTCATGGTCACAAGTTTCGAAAAGATAAAGTTACGTTCGATGGCCTTGCAGAATTGGAGGTAGCACCTAAACCAGTGTCAGGAATTGAGATTCTTAAGAAAATGAAAAATAGTAGAAATAAATTTGGAAAAGATCCATTGGCCAAATCTCGTAAAAGGAAATGGGGGGATGTTGATGATGTTGGTAATGTGTTGGAAAATATATTGAACAAAAGAAGCATATTTTTTGAGTTGGAATACCGGAAAGACAATATGTTGCGTCATAATCTTGACACAATGCATATTGAGAAGAACGTTTTTGACAACATATTCTGGACATTGTTGAATGTTGATGGCAACGGAAAAGACAATTTGAAGTCTAGTTTGGATTTACAAGAGATGGGGATCCGAAAAGCTTTGCATCCTAAGAAAAAAGCTAACGGGAATATATCTACACCTGCATGTTTCACATTGAGTAACAAACAAAAAGACATGCTCTTACAAGTTTTAAGAGATGTGAAAGTTCCAGATGGTTATTCTTCAAATATATCAAATTGTGTTGATCTTAAACAACGCACTATGCATGGATTGAAGAGTCATGATTGTCATGTTTTAATGCAACAATTCCTTCCGATAGCCTTGAGGAATCTTCTACCAGTTAATGTTCTTAAGCCATTAATTGAGTTGAGTAATTTTTTAGGGGCATTTGTTCAACAGTTATGAAGATAGGTGAATTAGAAAAGCTCCAAGATCGAGTTGCAATAACTCTTTGTCATTTGGAGAGAATATTTCCTCCATCCTTTTTTGACATCATGGAGCATCTAGTCATCCATTTAGCTGAAGAAGCAATGTTGGTTGGACCATCCCAATATCGTTCAATGTGGGCAATTGAAAGGTTCTTGCTTAGTCTTAAAAACTTTGTAAGGAGTAGAAGTCATCCAGAAGGTTGCATTGCAGAGGACAATGGATACAAGAGATCATGACATTTTGCTCAAGATAATTAGATGATGTGGAGATAAAGTCTAATCGATCATTAAGAAATAATACATTGTCTAATAAAACAATGGATCTGGAGGGTCGTCGATCAAGTAAAGAGAAAGGATTTATTCTTGATGACATTACACATGCTCAAGCACACAACCATGTTTTATTTAATTCTTCCTCCACAACTCCATATCGTGGGTAAGTATTAAATCATTGATCATGCTTAGTAATTAATTATTAAGTAATAGAATCGACAAGTCCTTCTATTAAGTATAAATGTATTTTACTTTTGCACAGAACATATAAAAGAAATCAAGAAGGGAAATCCTCGTCTATCAAGACATGATGTGGATCGGATTCACAATGAAAGATTTCAAATATGGTTTAGAAATCATGTAACTATGAACAAACTAAAATATCATCATATATGCATTACTATAGCTATAATAAAAAAAATTAAATTTTAACTACTTTTAAATGATAGGTTGAGAAGATGCATTTGGCTGGTGAACAAATACCTCAAGATATTCAACATTTAGCTGTTGGCCCATCAAAGAAAGTAAAAAGGATGACGGGATATATGTAATGGAGTTAGATACTTAACAAAATCTCGTGATGCCAAGAGAAAAACTCAAAATAGTGGTATAATGGTAAAAGCTACCACTCAAAGTTATGCGAGTGCAAGAGATAAAAATCCCATATTGGCAGATGTTTCTTTTTATGGGATCCTCACAGACATAATTGAGTTGTATTACACAAAGAAGTTCAAGTTTGCATTATTTACCTGTAAATGGGTGAACAACAATAAAGGGCTTATTGAGAAATATGATGATGGATTTACTCTTGTGAATTTTGATCATCTACTCTACACAAAACAACATTTATCAAATGAACCTTTCATCTTTGCTTCTCAAGCTCAACAAGTCTTTTATGTCGATCATCTAATGAAAAATGAGTGGCAAATTGTTGTTAAATTTAAGCCAAGAGATTTTTATGATTTAGGTGAAGATACACCATCAATTGAGCATAAGGAAGGCCATATAGAATTGTGGCCTGAGCAACAATTGGATGACACTACATTGAAAGTGAAGACGATATTGAATGGGTTAGACATGGAGTACCAGGAATAGAGATCGACCCACAAACTTTGGAATGTAATGAAGCATTTGATGAAGATGACAATACATCTTAATTTTTATTACTATTATGCTATTATGATTATTTTAATTTAGATTGTTATTGAACAATATAAATTTTTGCATTTTTTACTATGTCATTCAGTTATTAATATCTCGTATGGTTATGTGTTTTGTTATTCATATGCTTATGTGTCTTATTATTTAACTTGATAGTTAGATATTATTTTTGTACTTTTGGATTGTAGAAAATATTTTTCAATTTGTAGGTATCATAGCTCTTGAGCAAATTTTATTGAAATGGCAAGAAAAAGACGAAGAAATTCTATTCAAGGTGAGATTTTATATAACTCTCTGGAACAACAAGAACAACAAATGGGAAGTGCATCAATGCCCCAACCACCTCAAAATTGGCCACAAAATGAAAAAGAAGTGCATCATGATAACATCTCAAGAAATGATTCACATAATTTAGAAAATCTTCCAGGTATCAAATATCCATAATATCTTTTCTTCCTTTTGTAGTACAAAGTATTGGATAACTCATTCTTATAAATACTGATTTTTTTCTTTTTTATCTTCAATTATTCACAGATTTTAGTGAGAGCGGGGAGCAGTCTAAGCGATCTAGGGGTCCCACTATGATGCACTCAAGATGGGGAAAAGATGGTGGCATTTTACATGTTGAGTTGAATGATCTTGGCCAACCTATTGGGCCAGAAGGATGTAGATTGAGTTCAAAACTTGGCGTCTTAGCACAAAATGGCATTTTAGCTCCATTAAATCATAAAGATTAGAGGCTTTTGCCTGGTCTCTACAAGAACAAGATATGGACAGATATAAAAGTGCTTAGAAAAAGAAAAAAATATTAAGATATTTATTATTTTTGTAATATTCTAATATAAATATGTTATATATTGATGTTTGTAGGAAAATACTGATGCAACTGAGGATATGAAGTGTATTTTGATGATGTCAGTTGGATCTAAATGGAGAGAATGGAAGCATGAAGCAAAAGCAGTGGTTATGACTCATACACCAATGATGTTGAACGCTTAGCTAATCGTCCAGATAGAGTTTGAAGAAGATCAATGGCGTGCACTAGTACATTATTGGAGCTCAACTGATGCAAAGGTATTCTCTCATCATCAATCATCTTCTGATATGACATGGAGTTTAGACTATTCTCTAATGGGTAGAGTTATATCTAACTTTTTCAAGAAAAAGAGTGAGAGGAACAAAGAAAGTCGGAAGAAGTTGACTATGCCACACACATCAGGAAAAAAGAGTTATTCTCAAATTATAGATAATGTATAACATAATCATTTATTTACTTTCTACAATTATATACTAATGCACGTTTTTTAAAAATTTTTTGTTTCAATATCTTACAATTCAAACAGATGACAAAGGAGTAGGTTGTAAAACCAACTCGTATAGATGTGTTCAAAAAAACACATACGGAAAAGAACAATGAACCAATAAATGAAAAAGCTAGTGAAGCTATGGTAAATTCTCATTCTTTATAAATGTATGGTACTTTATTCCATCAATATTTTGTTAAATATATCTTTCTTTACTTTTCTTTTATGAAGAAAGAAATGAATGATCTTGCTGAGGTATATCCTGAGTTAAATGTACCTGGAAGTGCTCCAAATGATGTGTACTCACAAGTAATGGGGCTAGACACTCATGGAAATGTCCAAACTCTAGGAAAAGGAGCAGCTCCAAGTTTTTTTTATGGCCCATTATATAAGCGATCCCAAAATGAGCAAAGATATTGTGGTAAAAGAGTTGAGATAGAAGTTCAAAAAGTAACCTCTACTCAGAAAATTAAGATGGAGGAAAAGTTGTTTGAAGCAAAAGAAGAAATTGAAGTGATGGATAAGAAGTTATCGAAAGGAGAGGAGGATATGTAAATGATGAAGAAAAATTTAACTGAAGCAAATATGAATATGGAAGAAAAATAGATGATAAAGTAAAAGCAGGGATACTAGCATATGTAGATTCTTTGGGTATTACTCTTGGCTCAAATAGAAAATCATTTAGTAATGAGCAGGTAAATAAATGTGTTCACAAAATATTCATTTTAGAAAGTATTGTTATTTGTTTTTTAAAATATAATATTTTGTCTCTTTTGTGATAGGTTTCTAATAAATCTATTGAAGATTGCCAACAATCATTATCGCCCATTTCAGTTGTTGACCCGAAAAAGGTGAGTTGTAGCTTTGTTTTGATTATATCTTTGTGTAATTATATTACAATAGCTTGATGAAGTATTGGTACCTGGCTTATCTGAAATGCAAGCAATTGATTGCAACATCAACATAGAATAATGAGTTATCCATTTGAAGTGAAACGTGGAGTAAATAGGAAAGAATAATTCGTAAGTAATAATATTATCTCTCTTATCACTCCTCTTATAATGGGAAATTAGTAAGTGAAGAATGAGTGTGATTGTACTTTGTATATACATTTGTAAAGCATTACAAAATTCCACTTCCCTAGCCATCAGGATGAGGACTCTTATTGCAATCAATCTGAAATTCTACTGTCGTAACATCTACCTCAGTAAATGGTTTTAACAATTCTATTTGCTGACTTGTGGACAAAACTGGACCATTCAGTAAGAGACTAGTTAAAGTTTTAACTCTATAGGTGGTTTCTGTACCTAGAAGAGTCTTGTAGTAATTAACAAATATGTTGGCTATAATGGCCTGATCTGTTTGCTGAATTCCTATTCATCCTTCAACTGAGTGGTAGCATGTTTTAAACTTTTTTTTATTTATAACTGAAAAGAAGTACTTAGTATTGTCATTGCCAAGCCTAGTCCATGTTGTTTTGCTCTTCTGTTGTAAATAATTTTTAGCCAATTAAGATGATTGTCAAAAAAATTTGTACTTCTTTTTCTCCTATTCTTGAAATTCAACATTCAATGTATCTAATGGTAGTTGATAGTAGTAGTTCGTGAGCTTACTTGAGAGCCATTCGATCTTCTTCAGATTCAGTTACATTAATCTTGAAAGCTTGAGCATTTAACCCTTCAAGCGTCTCTTCAAGTATTTCAATCTCCTTATGTAACAACCCGTATTATGCATATGCTTGTTCTGTTCTTGTGATACTTGACATAGCCTTATAGTATAGGTGAGGGACCATGTTTCTTATATGATTAGTGTTGGTTTAAACTAGCTCGAAAGGTGATGTGATGCCTTGCACGTTGCAGCATGTGTACTGCAAGTTATAACTCCAACGGAAATATTTAAACTCGAGACGGGAAGGTGGTAATTGAGCTTAAAGTTGAAAGTTAAGTGCTAAGTTAAAGAAAGAGAGATTAATAATTAGAAAATGGATTAAAATAGGTGAGCTGCTTGCTTGACTTAACTAAGCTAGTAGGTGACAAGTAGGTGCATCACCTACTTGAACTATATGGATCTAGTTAAAAAGGCCAAGGTTTATAGATCAGATTTGGGTCTATGCTAATGGACTCACTTGAGGCCCAAACTATATTAAATAAAACAAAATGAAATGAAAGCCCATCAGCCAAATCTGTCAAGGCCCAATATTTAATCCCAAGTGAAAACAAGTAAGTGCATCACCTAGTTTGACCTTTTGAGCTGCTTGATGTACATAAGCAGGCACATCACCTACTTGACCAATTAGTGGTTGAAAATGAAGCTTTCTAGTGGATATTCTTAAAGGTGAAGAAAGCTCAATATAAAGATATATTGGCTGCTATTCTCATTCATTTTAACACACATTATTGAGGATTAACTCCAGCTCTTTCTCTCTCTCTTTTCTCTTAAGGATTAAACAACATCCTTAAAGTTCTTCTACGGTTCTTGAAGAAACCCTCATCTCTATAAGACAACGTAAGTGAAAACACATAAGTATTTAGCTTAATTCTCCCATGGAAGACTAGAAAACATGTTATTCATGCT